AATTGAATTATAAACATCGTAGCTATATTAACCTATCTGTATCTATATATAGCTTTAGAATAATGTATATAAGGCACCTTTTGTTGCATATAGGTAACAACTGTATAAAATTTTTCACCAATATGTTATAAGAAGTTAATAACCGAATTTATTGTGCAATATTCTATAAGTTTAACCTGGTTTTTTCCTTTTATTAAAGTTTTTGTTTTACTTTTTGTTTAAATTCTGTTTTTGGATTTTCATTATAGTTTATCTTTTACTTATATACTCGTCTATAATATATTTTATATATATGGGGAGTATAAGTAAGTTGTCCCGACGTATGTAACACCAAGAAGAAAATATTCCAAACTCTTGCTTAAAATCATTAAATTCGTTAATTTGCTCACTTCTGTACTACACTAACGGATCGGTATATCCGAATCAATATGACCGGAATTGCTACGGCAGGTACTACAGTAAAAATTGTTTGATTTTGGTAAGTGTTCTAGAGCTGCAATTGAGCTTTAATCAGAGTCACATACTACTCCTACATCGTTGTTCTTTTCTAATGTAAAACCACACATTCGTTACACATTGGCTTTTTTCACTTTTATAAGATTATTTTAAAGCTTCTTACCCAATAATTTCAGAAATATCGAATCATAAAGGGTAGATTTTTATAGGTCGTTCTTCGACAGCCTATGTTTTAAAATTCTTATACGATAGTACCACTACAAACTATTATACTGGTTTAAGAAAACTACTTCAGTAAGTAAATTTCTCTAACAATAGGCTGATAACACTAAAATAAAAATTTTTACTTGTTAAGTTTTTTATTGATTAAAACTTGCTATATTTTCAACATTTTTACCTTTTCAATTTCAATTCAATACAAGCTATATTCCAATAAATATAAGCAATATATGTACATAATATTTGCTCACTTATGCTCAAATTGTATACATATATGTTAGTATGTAACGCATTGTACATCTATGATAGCATATATTATGTATTTATAAACATTTTGCAAAAAATTATTAACAGATTCATGTTCTGTATTTTATGTTATGAGCAGAAACTTGAAAGGAAAAGAACTCAAATTAAAAAATTTGAGTATAGGGAAAGAGGAGGCTGAACTGTAAAGCACATAATATTATGAATGTGGTATTCAATTTCAAATATAGAGGCGTTCAAGTGAAAAATTAAAAGTCATATATACTCCTATATATGTATACATATTTATTATTTTACATATTATTTGTTAATCATACACAACTATTCATATATTACACTTTTTATACATTAAGACGGATACACTGTTTATATAAATTGTATATAATTATTATGTACATACATACATTACGTATATATATAAAATGTTATCATTTTGTAAAGTCATTGGAATAGTTTATTAATAATGTTTTGACAAGTTGTTATTTGCATAACGTTTACATATTATATTGGGATGAAAAGAAACTTCTGAAAAGAGAAATTTTTAGTGAAATATTGGTATTGTTAAAATTAAATGTTGGTAAACATGACAAATAAATTGGCAAATAAATATTATACTTATAGGTATGTGTACTTCATGTGTGTTTGTCTACTGAAGCATCATTGAAGCATAAAATTTTATTAAAGAATTTTTTTGGGAGAAAAATATTTTTCATAATTTAATATTTTTTATGTTAATTTTGTATTTTTTTGCTCTAGCTGGTTTCAAATTGTGAGGTGGTCAAAAACTATAAGCTATAGTAGTAATAAAAGCTTTTGTATAAGAAAATGTAGTTTATCCAATTATATTTAAAATTCTAAATCTGTTACAAATAAAAAACGCATCTTTAACAATAATTATAGGCTAACATCTCGCAATTTGAGTCAGTTTTCAAATTATTTCTCAATTTGTTTTACATAATGCAGCACGGCCTTACTCTCTCAATTTTTAAAGTGAGCTATAATACTTAAGAAAAAAATATATTTTTCTCATTTTAAAATAAAATTACAAAAATTCAAGATATTTTATGACATTTTTCTCACATGGGAAGTAAATAATTGCGATTTGAGGTACACAATATGGGGAGGACTCATTAGTCTCAATTGAGCCAATATAAAATTATTTAGTTAATGAACGTGCAAGAAGGTTAATTATAAATTATGCTCTTATTAATATTCTGAAATAAAATAAAATAGCGGGCGATCGGTTATCTTTAGCTTAGATTTCATAAAAATGGTACTATAGCTGCAAATCTTGTAACTAAATATAAAGTCTAATTAATTGACATTTTATTTTTACGTAAGACAGGTGCAGAATTAATAATGAATTTATTTAATTATTGATATTTTTCTATAACTGAGTATATAAAGTATTTAGGCATTAGAATTTCGACCTTTCCAATAATTTCTCGGAAATATTTTGAAATTATATCAAAAAACAAGAATCGGTATAGTTTATCGTGCCAACTCTAACGATATGAGTACGATATTTGTGTTAAATTTTAATTGATTGCATAATATTTTAAAATGATTTACAATTTTTAAAATTGTATCGCCATATTGACAATACAATCTCAATAGCTTTTATCGAAAATAATAGCCACATTACTGCATACGTTTTTTCTGATACGGTTGCTTAAACAGTTTCTGAGCTTAATCGAATGAAATTAGAAGTTTTGTGGCAGCTACCCGAGTCACTGCCTTGACATTATAATAATCCGATATAAATATAAGGTTCTGGCATTTATCTTCATAAACTATTTGTGAAAATTTTATGAATTTAGCTCAATTACTTTTCCAATTTTCGCTGACACGGGCGGGCGAGCAGTAAGACATGGTTAAATCGGCTCAGAATTCGATACCGATTAAAAATATATACTTTTCGTACGAATTGAGCAAAGTGAAAAATAAATAAATACTTGCATATTTTTTTTTTTAATTAAATTTCAATTTTTATTTAATTAATTTATTTTTCATTAATAATTTTTAATGGAACTAAAATTTGTATTTTTAAATATCTACTTTTAATATTGTTTTTTTTTTTCAATTTTTTTTTTATCTTGAAATTTTTGAATAATATTTTTTTTTTATTTATACATTTTTAAGTTTTCTTTATATTGTTTTGTTTTTTTAATATATATGTACGTATGTATATAATTTTCATTATAAATTGCTTTACATATATATGTATGTAATATTTATATAAAACATTAATATTCTTCTTTATTATATATAATGTATATATGTATAATAATATTATGTAATTATTATTTTTAATACTATTTACTTTTGTTTTTGTTATTTATAGCTAAATTTTTTTGTTTTTTTTTTTTAATAATTTTATAACATAGCAAATGAACAAATAAATTGTTGTTAAAAAACTAAGAAAACAAATAAACAAGTGCTTTTTCTATAATATATAAACAATAATATTAGTTATGTAATATGCATTGTATATAATAAATATTTTTAATGAGAAATTATAAATTTTTTTAGAAAATTATATAAAAATTTTTTATTTATTGTTAATAAAATTCTAATATAATTTTTAAAAAATTTTTATATAAATTTTTCTTTTTTTTTATTAATTATTTTAAAAATACATTTAAATTGTAATTTTTTTTTTTGGGATTTTATAAGTTGTAGGTTTTATTTATTTTTTTGTTATTTAGAATTTTTTTTTTTTAATATTAAATAAATTAAAAATAAATATTTATTTAAAATGAATTGTTTTTTCTTTTTCTACTTTTTTAATAATTAATAATAATAATTAAATTATGTAATAAGGAATTAATATTTTTAATTTATTATTTTATTTAATTTTTTCTTTTTTGGCAACAATTAGTATCACTTACATTTACATATACATAAAAACTACTGTACAAATTAAAGTTTAAAAAAAAAAAACTTTTTTTTTTTTTCTTTCACTTTATTTAAAAATTAATTTTTTTTTTTTTGCAAATTTTTAAATATTTTTATACAAATAATTTAAATATTTAATATAGATTTTGTTTTTTTTTTATATAAAAAGAAATTGCTATACAAATTTGAGTGTTTTTACAATATTATTTAAGTATTTAAAATATACAAAGTTTGCATTAAAAAATAAGTATTGGTACACTGGTGCGATAATGGCATGGCAATGAATATGGAGATTTTCTCTTCTTTCATACTTGCTTATTATTTTAATATAAATTTTCCCTCTCACGCTATAGTATGTTGATTTTATTACTAAACAATTAAATAACAAATAATTTTAGTATCTGCAAATATATGTTATCTTTTTTCTTATCGCTACTCAATTCAGTTATTGAACATAACTGAATTGAGTAGCAATTGACTCTCAAATATAAGTTGTTAGTGTGGAATAAATAAAAATTCATCTCTACTGTTTTTATTTAATATCATACTAGTGAGTTGTAAAATTTTAACATAATATAAATATATGATTATTTCTTGCAGTGGTAATTTATAAACTTCAAAGAAAAAAGAGTTCGTGTGGTATGAAACAACTGTAGAAACTGTAATTATATTGAAGAGAAAAATAATGTTCAACTCAAAGTTTAAGAATCCTAAATATTAAAATTACTCATTATTAAAATACCTCTCTTTACATTATTTTTGAATGCAAACTGTTATATAAATTGTTTAATTATAGCAATCAAATTTAATATTGCTAAAAGTTTTTATTTATCATTTTTTAACATTTTACCAAATTTCATTGAAAAATGAACCTAGACTTTTTTGTTTTATACAATATAAATTCATTTATGTATGTATGTATAAGTATAATAAGTAAAACAATAGCTAAATTTTTAAAATATTTTAAATATTAAAAAGTTAATCAATATTATTAATTATAATTTCAAATAATCACCCATTTGAATTAAAACGAAAACAATTATAATTTTTATCTAAAATTTTATTTGTTTCATTATTCGTGTTTTTTATTTTTTTTATTGAATTTCGACTAGAATATTTTTAATAATGACAATATTTTATGGCACATTTTTTGTTTTGTTAATAATATAACAGTATAGGTATTATAAGATTTTGATATGCCAATTATTATATAAAATTTATTTTGTGTTAAATAATTTTGTAATAAATTTCGAAAATATTGAATTAATTATTTTGTATAACAGAAAATTTTCCCAATCTGTTATACATAATATATGAAATTTTGTGTTAATTTAAATATTTTCTAAATTTGTTATACATACTTAATTTTTGAATTGTAAAGTTAATTTTATTTTTTTAGTTTTTGTTTTTATTAACTTGTGATTTTTGGCTACATTTTCGGTTTTTGAAATGTTTTTTAATATAATATTTTTTTTTATAACGCAATAATTTCAAGTTTACATAATATTTTGTATTTATTAGTTTTTTTTTGTTTAAATATTTTTTTGATATTATTAGATTATAATCAGTTTTTTATTTTCTATTAAATTCTAAATTATTAAAAGTATTTTTATTAAATTTTCAAATTTTCGTAGAACACTTTGACGTTATTTGAGCGAAATCATAATATGTATAACAGAGAGAGTCTGTTTATAAGAGTACTTGCTGCATAAATGGTATTGGATCATTTTTGACTCTGAGAGAAATTGGTAAACATATTTGTGTTTGAAGTTTTCAATTAGGGAATTTTGAATCCTTAAGAGTGTCATCGTTTAGGAAATGTTTTTCTTGTTGTCCAATAGCCCCGTCTTTAATTTTTTTTATATAATATGAATAGTATTCGGATGTTTGATTTATTTAAAAGTAGTTAATACTTATATATATATGTTATACGTATGTATAGCATCCCGAATTATTAGATAATTTAAATACATGCAACAACATTAATTATTTTATTAGATAACTGTTATACTGCAGTATTTTTTTAGAAAAATTGTTAAAACTTGTATATTTGTGAGAAAGCTTACAGAACTGATGTGCTAATTATTATTATGCTACTATCCAACATTTAAAATTCGATGAAATATTTGCAAATATTTGCAAGAAATACAAAAATCAAATGCATCATTGCTTTTTGTTCAATGTGTTCAGATTATTTTGTAAGTGTTATATAAGTTCCAAATTTATATATGATTAATTTTTTAAAAAAGTGGAAATTTTTTTATTTTTTTTTTTTGTTTGGTGATAATTTTACAAATTTCTAGGCCTGAACTTTTTTCATTTTATTAATATTGTTTCTAAATAGCAAACGATCTACTTTATATGTTTTTTTTTTTTAAATGTAAATTCACAATTTCAATAATATGTAAACTACTGAAAATTTTTTATTTAAGTTTTCTATAATTATACAATTTTTGTTTTTGTTTTAATTATTATATTTTTAATAATATTGCTATATTGTTCCCAGTTCACCGTATATTTTTATTTTTACTTTTAATTCTTACTTTTTATTTTTTTTGTATTGTGACTTATTTTGGAGATAATTTATAAAAATTGGTTTTGGGTTTGGAATTATTGGTTTAAAAAAATTATTTTAATTCATTTGATTTTTTAAATTTTCTCATATATGTTCTTTTCCGTATATTATTATGTAAATATAGAATTTGTCTTAAGGTGTTTAAATATGGTTAGTCTTACATATGTACATATGTATTGTAATATATGTAGGTACATAGGTGTATTGTAATTTATTAATGTCACATTTATTTGTTTTTTTTTTGTTTAGGTTTTATTTTTAATATTTTCTCAATAAATATATTGTTATAATTGTTTTTTTTTTTAATATAGAATTTAAAATTATGCAATATTGGATCTTATTAAAGGGTTTACATTTCATTTCATTCTATCTAAATAAATTTTAAATCTCTTCCTTTAATAAAAACAAAAACGGAAATAAAAAAAAAGTAAAAAAAAAAATCTCAACTTTTTAATTTTTTTCTTCTTTTCATGTTATTATTTAATGTAATATTTATGTAAAAGTATAATATTATGTGTTATACATAAATATAAGAGTTTATATGTATGTATATAATATTATGTGATTACATTGTTCGATTAAAAATTTTTTTTTTTCATTATTTCAAATACAATATTGGGCATGTCCTTGTTTTATATATATGTATACTTATTTACATAAACTTTGGTGGGTGATAATTCAATGGGATAATAGTAGTCATTTTTTGTATTGTTTTATATTCGTATGAATATTTTTATTATACAATATGATAATATTATGTAATTTGGAAAATACATGAAGTATAACTGTTAAAATATTTAATATATGTATATTTTAACATATATACATACATATAAATTAAAATTATTTTATTATTTTAGAGATTGATTTTATTATTTTGTATATTTTTATATTGTTTATAGCGCTATTATAAATTAATTGGGTTTACTATGGGACAAAATAATAAAAATTGTTTTTGTTTTTTTAAAGCATTAAAATTTGTTTGTACAACTGCATGACAATTAAATGGGAAATAAAAATTTATATTGTAGTATAAAAATTTGTTGCTGAGTAGCAATTTATTAAACAATGTTGGATAATAATTGTCAGTTTACTCTGCGGCAACATATAAATTTTGAGAGTAAATTTCTCGCTCATTATTTTGTTATTGTTTTAAAACTAGAGTGTTGTAAATGCTAAAATTAAAATATTTGCGTGAGTATTTTCATGAGAAATATTTATGAGAATATCAGTTGAAATTTAATGCAATATAATATGGACTAGATAGCTGCCATCAAGTGTATTAAAATTTAAAAAGTTGCTTTGAATTTATTATAAGATTTATGAAATATCGTAGAATTTGTTGTTTTGAGTCTTAATTTATTTTTGGTTCGCGCATTTTAAAATGACAAACTAATCGTTCAATAAGTTTTATTTGTGTTACATTTCGGGATAAAAACGCTTTATGGAATTTTACGAGGCGCTACTAAATTTTTAAATTTTCAACAGTTGTAAATTTTTAAAACTTATAAGGTTATTCACCTGGAAGTTTTCTAATATTTTAAATGATAAATTAATATTGTTATTATTTTCATATTATATAGATTTGTAAAAACATTTGTACACACGTTGGTAGAGTATGTGTTTCTGTAAACGAAAACGTGTATGTACATTTTGAACAATTTCCATATTTTTTTTTTTAATTTTTATTAATAAATTTAATCTATACATATAAATTACAATAAATTTAATAATTTAATATTGGTATAGCTATTTTATATTTTATTTTATATATTTAAAAAGTAAGGGATGGCTGATAGTGATAGACATAGAGATAAAGAGATTGTAAAGTGCAATTTTTCAATGAAAAATTTCATTTTTATTTACAAAGACTAAGAAATAAGATTTGTTTTTTTATTTTTCTTCTATTTATTTATAGAGTTGGTTCTACATGGTTCTAATTTGAGAGAATTTTTTTAGTTGTAAGTATAGTTTTTGAATTTCTGTTAATATTTTCTGTTCTCACTATGATTTTACTAAATTTTATGATATGCAAAAAAATGTTTTTTTTTTTTTTTGTTTTTTAATTGCTAATAGTTATAAGTAGAGAAACATTGGTGAGAAACATTATGTGCAAAGGGCTGGAAGGAGGAGGGTGTAAGATTTGAAATTATTTTGGTGTTGATTTTTTTTTTGTTATCTATAAAAAAGAACTACTAGGAAATTGGTCTAGAATTGATAACTGATTTTCGAAACATATAAGGTGTTTATTCTTGAAATTAATAGAAAAATGATTATTGTTCGAACAAATAAAATATTTTCTTGTGTAAATTGTAAGTTTTTCAAAAAAAAATTGGAAAATTTTGTGGTTTGAGTTGAGTTTAGTACAATGAAATCAATTTGAATAAAATATTGTTTGAATAACAACTCTTTTATTTCTAGACCAATATAAACTAGTTACATTATAACAGAGAGATTGATTATAGCGAGGAAATCCGATAATGGTATTGTAAAACTGTTATATTTTTATTTTCTTTTACTAGAATCTAATTGGGATTTATTACATTCTATATATAAATTCTAAAATATAATCCTATGAGAGTTTTACTTAAATAATTTTGTTATTTAAATCTTAAAACTGTTATACACATTTTTTTTTGTTTTCCTTTATATAAATAGTTTACATTTTATTTTATATATAGATTATACAAATATTACAGTTTACTTATATATTTTTTAATTTATGGTATGCGATAAAACATTTAATTTAAAATACAATTGTTTATAATATGCAATATATTTCTAATTTTCATAATGTTATATTTGTTTTATACTTAATTTTTAATTTTTTTTTGGTTTTAAATCATTTTCGTTTATTTTTGTTTTTTAATTTAAATTTAATTTAGCAGAATATTTTCTTTTTGTTTTTTTCTTTTTTTGATTTTTAACTTTTTAATTTCAATTATAATTTATAAAAGGAAATCTAACAATTAATAATAATAGTAATAAAATAGCACAGTAGTATTAAAAAACTTATTTGAATAAAAAATAAGTCCTTAATTCGTAATTAAAAATTTGATTTGATTTTCGCATTTTTTTGTTTTTTCTTTTTAATTTTTTTTTTATTTTTATATTGTTTATATAATTTAATATTTAGTTTAAATTTTATTATTTTTTTTTTCATTTTTTTTTGTTTTTTTGAATTTAATATATAAATAATTAAAAATTAAAAATTTTTTCTTTTATTTATTCATCAACTATATTACTTGGCCCGCCATTTTCAGGAGTATCGTGATAACCTTCATTAGTGAATCCACCACTGATACCATTACCGTCACCACAAATGCTATTACTTAGATCATGATTATGTATATGACCTATACATTTCTCTTCAGCTTCATAGCTTCCATCTATAACTAATATCATACAATGTGAATGTACGTCCGTAGACTTACATTCATCAACCGGACATTCTCACATATACGTCGGTTTTAATTTATATGCTCTCTTCCAAATTTCACATAAACAAACTGTACTATGAAATCTATAGAATATTGCTAATGGCATTGATACATGTGTTATTATTGTCCATGCCCATAATCCATAAAAATTCAATTGAATTGGATGTGATTCAGCTCTTGATTTTTCTAATGTACTAATTGCCCACATTGCTAAATTAGCTACTAACATAAATGTTACAATTTCTCTTCCAGGTTTTCGACGCATATGTTCTGGACTAACTGCTTGTCTTCTACTTGCATCTAATATAAACATTGTTTGAAATGCTGTTTGAACTATTGAGGCTAAAGCCGTTATTAATACTAAAATTGTATCTTTACGTAATGTAAAATGACCGCCGATAACAGTGAATGTACTGTAGAGGAAAAGGCCACTTTGTGCACCAACCAATAGTATATCATCAAGTGTAAAACAACGGTATGCATCATATTGTAAGACACGAATTTGTATCATACCGATTACTGTTGCTATTGTTGCTGTAGCATATATTGTCAATTCACATATTGTTACTTCTGTTACGGCTAATGATACGAATTCTGGTCGTGAAATTAATACGAAGAATAAAATTAAAGATATTATTGTTAATACTAAAATTAATATTCCAACAAAAAGTCCTTTATGAGCTCGAGCACAATCAACAGAATAATGATGAGGTGATCTTTTAATTGGTGATTGTTGATTTTCAATACGAACTGGCGGTGTACTAGATGGATGTGATATACTACGCCACATAACATATAAAATAGCGGCACATATCAATGAATATTCAATGGTACATGGGAAAAGGAATGGGGAAGCATCTTGAACTAATGTTCCTATAATATTTGTACGTCGGCATTCGAATATTTGATAAGGTCCTTTAAGGCCACGTGCTACTCTTAAATGAGCTGAATGGTCAAAATGTTGCATACGATTACCTGTAAAATTATAAATAAAACAAAATTTTAATTTTATTGAAAATTCAAGGTCATTAATAATTTTAATCTATTAGGAATACAATGCAGACATTTTCTATGTCCTTGGTCATATTTTTATTTTTATACATATTTGTTTTTTTTTCTTTTAAATTTATGAATAATTTTTTTGGCTAAAACATGTTTTCTCATTCCAAAATAATTACGGTTTACAAAATTCATTGTTAAAGTCTGAACCTTCAAAATTTTCATTGTCCACTATCATTTACGTTGAAAAACAAAACAAAAACAAAATTTTAAACGTATAACATTCAACAATAATTTACCTAATCGATGTGATATCCTTAGAGTGCGATTCTCTGGATCATAGAAGGTTAAAATTTCATGCTTTGTCTCCTGTATAAGAACATTTAACCATACAGATAAATTTGTTCCAATCATATGCATAAGTCCAAAACGTGCAATTATCTTGTGACGATAGACTTTTATTTGCTGAAATTGCATAAAATGAAAAGAACAGAAAACAAAATTAGAATATTACAAAAGAAAGAGAGCGAAAACAAAAATTCCTTTTTCATTTTCAAAACTGTTATGTTGCAAAAATCACAATAAAATTTAAAGTTGGTATATCCAGTGTCGGGCATTTCTTTTTAAATTGATTTTAATTTTTCGGAATATTATGAAGAATTTATTAGGTTTGTGAGATAATTTGGAATAAGAAATATTTGGAACTCAACCATTTGCTGAAAGATCATAGTAAAAATTTGAAATGAGTAAAATTTTAAGCAACATATTAAAAGTAGTCAATTTTTTAATTATTTTCTAAGGGAATAATTCTTTGGGAAAGTAAGGAAATTTATTTCAATTGAAAGAAAATTCAATGAATTGCGTCAGATTTTCTTTTAACACTTTCTAGCTCCTTTTATGAAAATATATTAATAATAATGTAAAGTCATTACGACAATTACCCACACTGTTCTACTTTGTAAGAGCGTGACAAAAAATTTAATTTATCTACTATTATTGGTAAATTTTTGTTTTAAATTAATCCTAAAGGAAATCGTGTTGCATTTTGCGCAATTTAATAAATATTGAAGTTACATAAGTGTACGATTTTCCATACATAATACCCACACTCTTTACTCACATAAATACATATATTTTTTTTTTGCTTATGTACACGTATGGTCGGTATACTTATAAATATAATTTTTACATAGTAATGTGAATGATGCAAATTTTTCTCTTTTTACCTCGTTATTTAAAAATATAAAGTACATTTGAATGAAAATGAAAGCCATACGAGTGGCTGGTGTTAAGGCTAACAATACATTATGACACTTGGTATCTCTTTCTAATTCAAAGTACTGTCCAAATTCAAGACCAGAGTAGATCATACTGCCAATTCCAAATGCTGCAAAAAAAAAAAACAAAGAAAATAAAGTTATATAACAAGCAAATAAAAAATAAAATGAAAATTTTTTTGATAAACGAAATGAACATAGAGACGAACAAATTAAAAAAAAAAAACAGAAATAGAAAAAAATAAGAGAGAAAACATTAAAAAGATTAGTATTGAAGTAGCTTGAGGGTAGGAGGACAAATAATAAAATTTTACGACTAAAGGACGATTTTAAAATTGAGATAAAAATGGAAAGGCATAGAAAAAGTATATAGGAAAGGATGTAATTTGTAACTCTAGATGAGTTTTCTGCTTTCATTTTTTGGAAGAGTAATAAAATTACAAAAATTGAAAATTTAATTCTATATAATGATAAAAATGTCTGAAAGGCAAATATAGAAAATTATCTTAATCAGTTTAATGGATCATATAAGGTATCTCAGAACACATGAGCAAAATACATAAGCCCACAAAGTATTTATACATTATTGTTATAGTGTAATAGAACACAATATTCATAATATTATCTATTTACTTCATTTTGTTATTTGCTTGAAGTGCAAACAAACCAAAGTAATTCTAGATATTAAGCTTTTAATTATTTTCGAAAAATATTATTGAATCTGTTATATAGATATTATGCCATCTTATATTCAATTAATTATTCTTTAATACAGATTTTGAAAGTATACACTCAAATATATTATGCATATGAATAATAAGTTAACATTGCACCATTATGATATTGTGCACATCAAAGGATTTGATACATAGAAATATTATAGTACAATCTCTATCAAATGACGGAGTTTTTCTCTGGTACTGAATATTGTTATATATATGTTTAATGAAATAACAGAATAAGAGAATGGAAAAGGAAATAAATATACTGGAATAGGATATATGCTTGATATATACAGTATTTAATCTCGTATACGATATTATCTTAGATTAATAAGATTATTTTAGAATTTACTTAGAAAATTTTATTACTCTTGATAACTTAATTAAAAATTATTCTCCTCTCTTTTACTGTTCTTCTTTTTAAACATTCTCATTTTTAGTAGAATTTCAATTTTAAGTCGTCGCAAGAACGTTATACATATATACGTATGTAGTACAATAATAACATTAATTTCTGACATGTGAGAGTAAAATAAATTTCACAGGAGTAAATAAAAACGAATTTTTGGAGAAATTTATCTCTTACCTACAGCACCCATTCTTAAGTAAAAACTTCCATAATGATAATGTTTACCACCGATTGGTGCTAATAATGATGGCCGTCTTTTTGCTGCTGCTTGCCTTCGTTTTTCTTCACTTGAACAACTTTCTGTATCCGATTCTTCCATACTATCAGAGGCACTGCTATTTGTTGCACTAGCTTTTTTCTTTGGTGATTTTTTTGCTATTTAACAAAAATATTGTTCATTTGATATTTATTTGTAATCTCGAAAAAATTGCATATTTTTAGGTGAAATCATTTATTTACGAGTAATAGGGAAATTTTAGGTGTATTCATTTACCCCCAATGTAAAGGTCAATAAATCGGTTTTGATAATCAACTAACCAATTCGATAAGTGTAATATCACTTGGAATATCTAAGGAATTTTTTCCGTGTACTGTGGTGCATTTATGGAACTCGTAAGTGAAAATACATTGGAATAAGAGTAGGGTTTTCCATATGAAATTTGTAATTTTTGTTCCATTCTAAGAAAATATTATGTCAAATTTACAATTTTAATTGTTTAAAATTTTTTAGAATAGTTTATGTTTCTTAGAAGATTTATAATAAATTTTCGGTGGAACAGTTTTAGGTACATAACGAGTTAGCACAAGCTTATGGAGCAAAATTGTTTGGAATTCCTTAAAATTTTTAACAAAAAATCGCAAACTTTTTCAATTGATTAATTGTTTTACAATATTTATTAACAAAACTGAGTCTTCTTTACAATTGTAAATAAATAGAAATACTTACGTGTCACTATTTTAGGACGGCCCCATAGTAATGTTGCATACATAAATAGTAAAAATAACATGCTTCCAACATACAAATAAAGGTAGTACACCTAAAAAGAAGAATTTTTTTTTGTAGAAAAATTTATTATTTAAGTAATTAAATGAATTTAATAAAAATGAAAAATATATAAAAGAATTTTGCTGTTTTTGAACTTGAAAGTAAAAAATAAAACCAAATATATAAAATGGTAGCTAGTATTTCAACTCTTTACATATTTTGATGTTACATTTATAAAAAGATCAAAACGGAGAAAAAAGAAAAATTGCTCTTTTGAAATTAAAAAAAAAAAAACAAGTTTTTTTCTGTGAATTCAACAACTTTTCACTCGTCACTTTAACAATTATCTGCATTTCAAATATAGAGGCATTAACTTAAAACGAATGTTACACATTCTGTATGGGTGTAACATCTTTGCACACCACATTTAATCTACATTTTTAAAAAATACTCTGGTTTTTCAAAGAAAAGCCGCGCATCAACTTTATTTATTATGCAAATTAAAAATAAATTCATGAATACTAGCAGTTGCTTTTGTTAAAATTAAAAATTATTGTCACCTCAACTTTAATGCTTCAAATCAGAATAAATTTAATTAATTTCGTATTCAATGTGATTTAAACTCAGAAAATATTAATAATTTATAAAACCTAATTTCATAGGTTTATCAAACGCTTAAAATGCAACGATTTTATTATAATTATAAAATTAGAATTTAAATGTTTAATTTAGAATTGGACTTTGAACTTTTTAATTCCTCAATATTTTAAATAACATTTTATTTCAATGCATGTTTAAAAGAGCATTCAATTAAAAAATTTAAAGCACCTTTATGCATAGTAAAATTTTATTTTTAGATTTTTATGCTACGTTTCATGTCCTTTATAATTTTTGATTAACAAAATGTTTTGTGAAAATTCTTTTTGTACGATTTGAAACACATTTTTTTATCATAGAGAAATTTCTGTTATGAAAAATAAATCTTTTTTTTTTCAAAATGTTAATTAACAATTTTATTAGGAATTGTGTAGACGGAAATATTTTGATAATCAGTTAGAATTTTGTGTGGTGCGCTTTGGAATTTATAATTATTTTAAACATGGCGCGACTCGGCGCCAATATAAGAATACGTTTTGCTTTAACTATTTTCATCTACAATAACTTTGGAACAAGAAATACCAATGGCTTTTGGTAAAATATTGATTAAATCGCACCTATCACAGGTTGCTGCGAAAGTGGTGCAACACACGAGTGTTTTCTGGATAAGTTCCTTCTTAAATCTGATCAGATATCACAAAATTCGTATACTGTTCATAGAACTATATTTAAAAATGTTTTTTTCTGAACCTGTTGATTCCAAAAATCTCCTAGAACAACTGTCGTAAGTCTTCCCGAGACCTTTCAAACTATAATCCGTGTTACCATATTTGTTGACTTAAATTTTATAATATAACAAAAATTCAGCTAGAAAAATCTGATATTACTTTGTATGTATCTGATATACATAGCTTTTCTTATTTCATATCCCCCTTCATTGATTTACATTGAGAAAGAGGCTCTAGGGTGCAGACGTGATATTGACAATTAAAGAGACGTGATTCAATTTACAAAATCGGACTTTTATGTTTATATATTTTTGCCTTTTTTTTTTATCTAGAGTAGGATAGGCTAGGATAAGAATAATGAACAAAGGAATTAAGCTATCAAATTATTTCAATAAAGAACGTGCATTGTGATAAGACCTCAAATTAATAAACAAGTCAATTGTTTATTATTAAATTTTAATTTTAATATTTAATTTGTAATTTCAAGCAAATAAATCTGGAATATTAATATTTTTCATTAATATTTTGCAGGCATTTAATGCAGATTTTCTAAATTTATTGATATTAACAATTTCTAATGCTTGTGTGAATGTTGACATTCAAATATCCTTTATAAATATTTCAATATAAACATTAAAATAGATTCTCAAATTACTTAAACAACTTCATTATATGCACGCAAGATTAGAGAGTGTTTGTACGAAAATTTAAATTCTATACGTTTATTTAGCATACTTTTTTTTTTGTATACAAGGACTAAGAATGAGGTTAATTTCTTTTTTTATGTTATCATAACTTTGAACAGAAAATGTATACATAATATGCCTATATAGAGATATTATACATCATTATATACACAAAGTTTATGAGTTCGTTTGTACATACAAGTATGCATTTAATAATTAATATCAACTATATATAATAATTATAATCTTTGTCTTCTTTTGCTCTTTATTTCAAAATCAAAAACAAAAATAATAATAACAAGAAAAAGGAAAGTTTTCATGGAAAAATATTAAATCCTTAGCAGAGGAAAAAAAGCAGTTACAAGGACTCTTAGAAGTTGAAAAGTTCAATTGAGTTCCGAATAAAAAATTTTATACGTTTAATTATTGCTCTGATTTTTCATTTTATTTCTTGTTCGTGTTTTTTTTTTTGCAAGTCAAATACACCGGTATACATTTATATATATGAGCATTATTATTGTTATTATGTATACATACAAACATATCGTACCTATGCAGACCAACACTACTACTATACTTACAATCAATATCTTAAAACTGAGTCATGGATATTTTCCAAATTTGTAGAACGGTGCTTTGACGAACTGAATTTAGCTAGTTGTATGGAAGTTATAAATTGATATTGACACCAAACAGTAGGCTGAATAACTGGATATATGTGTATGATACTGGTTAAGCGATTAGTGGTTCGCGGGGAATCATAACACTTTCATAGAATTAATTTTCAACACATTAAGCCGCTAATTGTAAAGAAATGGGCCAAAAATGGCCCAGCATTTTTTTTTAATTTCTGGCTAAAACGATTTGAAGTGACTAATATAATTCGATTAAGGAATATTTCAGGAATGAATATTGGATATTTAGAGAGATCACTAGTTGTGCTAAGTAATTCTAATCTCACTAGCAGTGATGACTGGAGTTTTATGAAATTGTAATACTGATTTGACTCGTATACCAATAAATTAATAATTTGCTTCATGACAAACTAGTCTTGGTCAAATTTCAGTATGGCAATCTTATTCTACAGGTGCAACAATCAAATAAATATTATTTTAAAGATAACTCCGTACTATTTTTATAACCATTAATTTTATTATTTTTAGAATTTAATTCCGTTTTTAGAAAGAGCAAGACTAAAGCCTGTATATAGCATTTTGTCATATTAGAATATTAAATTTAAATGTTAAACTAATATTTTTTAGATTAGTTCATTAAAAATTTGTTTTAGAATAATTTATGGGTCATTGAAATGCAAATATAAAATTTATTTGAAGATTAAAGATTCTTTGAAAATGAATAGATTATTAAGAAATGCTTTCATTTTTATTTACTCAATGAAATATTAAAGCTTTCAATTGGAATTCTTGATTCTTGAATATGTTTTTAAAAATTTAAAGTATTTTTAAATAGGTGAGGTCGGATAGTGCTTTCAACGGATATTTATAGTAAATTTCTTTAAAATAAATCAGTGGTAAAATTTTAGGGCAAATTTATGTAAATCAAAATATTTCTAGCTCTACATAATACCAAAGTTATGCAGAGTTCCTATATATGATATGAAAAATTAGGAGGGCATTGCGGTTTATGAAATCATTTTCTTAAATCCTTAATTCTAATTTATTTTAAAATTAATAATAAAATTAAATCAAATAGTGGTAAAATGTGACTATGGTTTATTTAAGAACGCTTCGCAAATTTTTACTTTTTCATACAAAATATTTTAATTGCATAGTTTTAGGGGTAACCATATTAAATTTCTTTATGTAGGTATTTTTGTTTTTTTTTTTTTTGGTAACCTCTTTTTGTATATTTTCAATTATACTGTATATATATATGTAATTTCAAATATTATTAAGGGAACTGTTATTGTATATGTGATTATAATAAGCAAAGAACATAATCTGTACCTACATAATAAATTTTTTAGTCCTACATGATGACACAATAATTTAGAGACGCCTAAAGTAAACATTTTAATATTATTCATGTTGTGTATATTCATTATATACATGTATGTGTATATATGTTAATTTTTACTATGAATTTTAAATATTTACTGAAATATCAAATTTAAAGGCGTTATACCATTTGTTTTAATTAAATTTAAATTCCATATATACATTATAATAAAAATATATGAATGTCAAATGATAACATACGCAGTGTAGTAATATGATTCTATTGTATAATAATATTAAGGGATTTTGCGAAGGGTGTTAAAATATTTAAAGATTTTCGTATTAAATATTATAATATAGGCGTCGGATTTATTTATATAATAAGGGTTGACTATGCTATATATAGGCATATGAAAATAAGAAAAATTTCAAAAATATTTGTTCAATGAGATTCAATTGTTAAAATTTATACTTGCTCTTTACATAAACATTTATGGTAAATCTTATCATTTTAAATTTAATTTAAAGGATTTGATTCCTAAAAATTTTTATGATTGGTTTATACTATTAGCTAGTTTTGAAAATTTAAAATCTAAGTAAATTTTAATTAACAAAGTCTAATACTAATAAATGTCAATTATTCTCATTCAATGTTATTTCCCACTTCTCAGTGCCCATTAAATTAAATAAAATGTTAAAACTTTAATAGCTTCAAGAGAATAGTATTGCGGATATGAAAAAGGACAACGGATTCAACATAAAATTCAATTTTAAAAGCCATTTTATATTTTGCTATTGCTGTCGCAAAATAGCCTTAAATTATTTCAGGTATAAATCATATCGTTAGTGTAACTCAAAGAGCCTGTTGTTTTATAAATTTCATTGACGGGAACGCTTAGGTAAGAGTAAAGTAGGGAACAATTTTCCTTTTTAAAGAAACAAAATTAACTCAAAGATTTATTTTTGTTAATAATGGCAGCTGATACAAAGAAATATGTATATTAAAGTTCACATATAATGAATTGTAAACCAAAGGGTAAAAAAACGCAAATTTGTTGGAAATATGCGACTTGAAGCAGAGAA